TCGTTTTGTTTTTAAAATTATTTTTACTTTTATTTTCATTTCACTTTTTATTTTACTTTCACTTTCGTTTTGTTTTTAAAATCATTTTACTTTTACTTTCATTTTCGTTTTTAAAAAAAAAATTCTTCTTCATTTACTGCGCCATAGTGTCCAGATTATCCAGTCACACTTTTGTCTATCATCCAAGTGTTCGCAGGAGTTATTCCGAATCCAGACTTTTGCGAGTTATTCCCCTTGACGGAAATGAAGACCCGCATTGTTGACAGTTTGAGCAAAATGGCTGTCAACAATAGTCTTATGATTTTGATCATTGAAAAAAGGTCTCGGGCCTAATTTGCTATACTTGTCAAATGACGAGATTAATATTATTACCTAGTCCGAAACTTGCTGACTTTTCCCAAGCCTCTGATAGCTATTTGGGCGGATATGGTTGGGAGAGAGTCAGAAAAACTAGGCCCAAAAACCTTGCGATTTTCCGCACTTCCGCGGTTGCGGGGGTTTTAAACGTATTTATTTATCTCGAATCCACAAATTTTCGATATATTGGAAGGTTGATGATTTTTTCATACCATCATTATCCCCTATGACATACAGGTCACGTATGCGAGTCCATCAAAGTCAAAGTTGTTTTCCAAGAAATAAAGACTGTGGCTCGCCATTGAAAGGTGTGGAAAATCCGCCAGCCATATCTGTCAAAATAGCTGTCAAAGGCTTGGATTATTACCCTGCAACTATCTTACCCGATTCCTTTGTAACTAGCCAGGTGTGTAGTTTTAGAAGCGAAAGTGGGAGCATGTATATAAGATATTAATTTAATCGTTGCAACAGTTGAAAATAAATTTTCCACAAACATCTGTACGTTGACAAAGTCATAAATCCATCTATAATGAACTTTTTCAGATTGTGCTGTTAGAAAACCTTGATCTAACATGGCATGGATTCCCCGAATTAGAAATGTTACATGGCAAGAAAATACAGATTTAAAGAAGAGTCTAGTTACGTATGTGGAGCAAAACTTAAAATTGTGTGAAATACTTGACTTCATTGAAAGTGAATATCCTGACTATGAATGGAGTCATCGTACGTTACAGAGAAGAATGGCATATTTTAATGTTAGGTATGTGGACAGTAATCTAGATCTAGAACATATAGAAACAGCTGTTAAACAGGAAATGTCTGGTCCAGGAAAACTTTTAGGTTATCGTGCAATGCACAAGAAGATTCGTCTCAATGCTCCACTGAACATTGTATACGATATGATGGAATATATTGATCCTGAAGGTTTGAAAGTAAGAGGTGGTGTAGGGAAACCAAAGCGCCCACCTCGAAATAAATGGTTTATTTCTGAGGTATGGGAAACACAAAATGTTCTTCAAAATATGTTTCTGCTTCTTCCATAATACAATTTGTATACGCCCACTTGTTGCCCAACTTGTCATCAATTGGTTCGTACACACACTTTTGAGACTGGAGTATTTTTATCTTANATTTGTAGACGAGTCATTTTAAATATTGTCGACGAGTTAACTCAAGGTTGTAGACGAGTCAACTTACTTTGAGACGAGTTGACATATGGACAGGTTGGCTAGTATGTT